CCCCCCCACCTCCCATTTTGGGAGGACTGTTGCTTTCCTTTCCTTTCTGTCTGCCCAACTTCAGACACATGAGCTCTTCCCCTTGCATCTTTGCTCTCCTCCTCCTGCTGACTTGGCTGAGTGTGGAGCGTTTCACGCAGTCGCTGCTGCTCTTTGGTAAGTGTGGACCTGGGATCTGCACCTGCCGCTCCTTCGGGCAGGGTCTTTGAGTTTGTAACTGAACCACTCCTGAAAGAGACAGTGAAGGCTCACTGGGCTCTTGAAGCTTCTTGCTCTGTGAATATCTTCCCAAAGATGGTTTTTTTTTTGTTCTTAGCAAGTTATGGTTTTTTTCTCCTTAACCTCCTGGATGCCAAGGAAGAATAACTTTCCTGAGTGAGCTGGATTGTGAAATAACTTTTTGTGTGTGTTCTTTCCGGAGAGGGATGTAAAATAAAGGCTTCACCAAATGAAAGGCCTAACTCTTCTATAAGCAGCCTGCTTCTTTTTGCATCTTTTTTTTTTTCCCCTCTCCTTTTCTCTTAACTTTTGGAACATTCTCAGACCTGAGAATTCTCCAGCCTTTTTTTTCTTTTTTTCTTTTTTTTTTTTTTTTTTTTTTTTTTTTTTTACATTTTCAATGTAACTTCAGTTTTTGCTACACTGTGTAGATCTTCACATTGGAGACGTTGTGGCTGCAACATACTCATTTGTTTCTTTTGCTGTCCAGTCTTTGAAGGATATTGCTTATTCCAGCCTCCTAATCCAGTTTTTATAGTCTGTCAGTATCAGTTGATATTAAAGTTGGTGGTGTTCATATATCCAAACAGCCTTCAGGTGTCATTGAGTCACCTAAATGTTCTTGAATCCTTCAAGTCTCTTGTGATCCTTTGGCTTAGTGAGTTTAGCTCTGCTCTGTACTTTATAATTTTATTCTGTCCCTGTTTTATTGCCTTAGCCACAAATTGTGGTCCTTTTTTGTATATTTTATGTATAAAACACAAAGTTGAATCCCAACTATTTTTAAGACAAAAGTCTGTTAAAACTTTTTTTATTGTAAAGAATATTTATTATGTGAATCTCTATTATTTTATGATATTTATTGCAAAAGACTTCGAAAATGTACTCATGTCTGAATATAACAAAATATCAATACTTAACGAAATAAGGATGACACGAAGAAAGTACATATGTTAACTATAATGCAGAAAATATATTAATTAATGAAAACGCCTCTGGAGTTCTTTTGTTACAACTGGCAGGTTGTGAGCTAGATGTGTGCATTGCTGGGCTGTCCCTCCTCCTTCAGCTCTGTCAGGTGGCAAATAACCTCCTATTGATACTTCAAAGCCACTAGTCTGTGCTCTAGTTTAGTTTACCTAATTTTAAGTTTAAGCCAACTACATATCAAATAAGGGATGTTTAATACAATTGAATCTGTGTTGTGCTTAACAGTGCCAAGAAATGGAGGCTCTATTTATTTACCAAAGCATTTGGAAATACGTTTGTGGAGGAGAAAACCACAACTTCCAAGTTGGTTTCTTTTTTGGTGTTTGTTTTGTTGGTTTGTTTTTGTTTTTTTTTAAAGAATACCACATTAACATGCAAAGCCATTCAAAATTTTCCTATGTAGAACTTCATGGCTGGTTAAATTGTGCAGCAGTTGAAGAATTTAATCTCCTCACCTCAATTCTAAATAAAAAGTTTGGAGCCAGGATGAAAAATAGCGATTGTGTTGCTGTAGTTTGGTAGCTTTGAAATCTGGGAATGTGTGTGTTGTGTTTGGGTCTATGTCTATGACTTATTTGGGTCTTTTCCCATACGTTTTCCAATGTCAACTGAGTCTTCTGTCTTTAAATTAAAGGCTCTTAAGGGTGACCTAAGTGTCACAGCTACTTGTGGCCATTTAACACACATTCAACAGAAAAAGCTTTTCATTAAGAGTGAATGGGGAGACCTCATTCTTTTCCTCATGTGGGTCAAGGTTACATCACAATTCCGAACTTTAAAAGTTTTAAATGGATGCAATTTCACATGCTGTTCAGAGTAAGAGGTTCCAGAGAAACTCCACTTCAGAGCAGTGACTTGACAGATGTGTCATATCTTGCTCTTTTTTGAAGTCCTGCTGCTTTGAATTACCATATTCAAGCTGCTCTGACTCCCAGCACCGTGGTGATTTGAATAAGCTCGCCTTTTTGTAGTTAATTCCATCCCAGCTGATGCTGTGTCATGGAACAGGGCTGACTGAGAAGCTGCTTTTATATTAAGCAGCACAGATGACCCCAGAGAGGCACAGAGAGAAATCATCATCTGAGTACATCTAGGAGTGCTCCGCAGGGTGCAGGCGGTGCTGCTCCTCCATGTGACAGAAGTGACAGGCTGGGGGGCAGCACCGGATGCACACGGCTTCTGCTTTCCAAGATTTCCCGGGAGGAAGCAGGAACTTCCAGGAGAGGAATGTTCCTGAGGAGCAGGGACTCGCGACCCTTCGCTGTCACCACGGTCTCGAAGAGCGACAGCTGCGAATGGCCCCGGCACACAATGGGGGCCCTGTCCGGCGCTGGCTAGAGATGTCCACTGTGCTGACACCCGGGAACGCGGAGCCAACCGCCTCCAGTGCTGGATCACAGCCAGCCCCCGCTCCAGGGATGCTGCTTGTGCCTCCTCAAGGAAAACATTGCTCTCTGTCTCTTCTTTTTCAGCCAGTCACTGATTTACCTGGGGGTTTGGGTTGGTCCCAAAGGACCCACGTGTTCTCCATTCTTTAATGATTGTCTTCCATCGGGAGCTATGTCGTGACACTGTTTCAGATCTCTTTTTTTAAAACAACAGCTACACTCTAGTTAGTCATACTAATGCTCCCTTTACTAACCAGATTTTAAGAATAACTTGAGGGTTGCGGTGCCTCTAGAGAAAAAATTGACTTGGACCTACACAGCAAGGAGAAGAAAACAGTTCCTTGCAGGTCTTACATGGTTTTCTAATTGCCAGGTAGAGCAGACAGTGTTAGAAAATGAGAATAATATGTTTTTGTCTAGGGTTAGATGCTGTATGCTTTGTATTCAACATACAAATATGTAGGCACACAGTTTGTGGTAATTGGGAGTGGGGCTGCAGCTGAGCCTCATCCCCAATGGGCCACAGCTGTGCAGAGCAGCTGAGCAGCACTGGGGGTAACGAGTGCCCAGGGCACTGACCAACCACCAAAGGAGCAGAGGGCACACAGGGGCAGTGCATCAACATCAGGGGATAAAAGGCTGGGCTGGGGGACAAGGTAAGCAGATGCTGGCAGCCTTCTGAAGTGACAGGGTGTTGCTCTGCGTGGGCAGACTCCAGAGGCCTTCTGATGAGGTATAGGTGTTGCTTTGTTTGGGCAAATGCTTAAAGCCTTCTGAAATTGCGTGGTGATACTCTGTGTGTCGTGGCCGTCTCAACTGTGACACAAATCTATCCGAGCTCGCTTCTGGCTGCTCTGGAACGTGAGGTCATTGCACTGTGCCATGGAAGGGGCTGGGGATTCATTCAGGCAGTTGGATTTTGTGGTGTAGAACCACGCAGGGTTGGATGGGAGCGCACAAATTCTCTTTCCAGCTGAAAGAGCAGAGTAAGCTGACAGCTGGAGGAAATGAAGCTTCCACAGGCTGAAGAGACACAGGTTACTTTTAGTATGCCCCAAGTGGTCAGCCACTGTGTCTGTTCTACTTTCCACAGTGGAATGGCCATCCAGGGATGCTGTGTTCTGTTGGAAGGGGGGTTGCTGAGGGGGTACTTCAGCAATTAGGGTACTGAAGTGCACATTTCAGTCCTTCAACTCCAAAGTTATCAGGGGGGCTGTTTGATGTTACTCCTCCATGTCTGCAGAGCCTATTGCAATGTAGCTCATAAAAATTACTTTTTTTCCCTGATATTTTTGGGATCTTGTTTTGAGAAGCCAGTAATTTACATTTACATTTTCCACTCTGTGTGAAATGGTGATGTAATTACCATTAATGGCAGTAAGTTCAGCTGACCTACTGACCTAATTGCATGGGTGGGTGATGGATCTGGCCGAGGCTGCCATCTGGTTCCAACAGCGAAGGCCTCAGACGTGTAAGGTCTGGGTTGAAGGAAAAAGGCAAGTCCAGCAAGCTGGAATTCTCACTTTGCTTAGTGCCTCAAAACTTGTGGTAAGAGATGAATTTAGGAAACAGTAATTTAGCAATAAAAACAATGGGTAGATAAAATTTCCACATTCCATGCTGGAGGATTCCATGGCTGAAGTGAGAATTTGCCCTCAGAGTTGGGGTGTTTCTCCAAAGATGGCTCCATTACACAAATGCTGAGGTGAGTTATCCAAGGGGGGATAATGCCTAACAAATGAAAAGTACTTGCTCTTATTTATGGTTCCATATCATAAAGACAGGTGGGAGAGGATTAGCTCCTCTGCCTGTGATAAAGCAAATCTGTTAAGAGGGATTAAAGGGGCTAGATAAAGTGTTTTAATGGACTTATATGAAGTAATAGATTTTTGTCCTGGAGGAATGTTCAGGACTCACTGATACTTCTGCATTTCTTGTTCTGCTAAAATTACCTCCAAATTCTAAGGAATCCTGATTAATTGTTGGCCTTTTTCCAACTGGAGCATTTGTCAGTCATGGTGGTGCTTCAGAAAAAACCTGGAATAAAATTCTGTTCTGCTGTCACACAGCTGGATTTAGCAGCCTTACACAGCACTTGGGGCTGCACAGGTCTTGTTCTGATGACCCTTCATTTGCAGGGCAGCTCTTGATCATTTGTAGTTCTTCCCTGTGGTTGTCTTTCACCTTCCTCCAGCTGGTGGAAGGAACCAAGGCATGGCTTCTTCCCTTGGCATTAGTTGCCCAGCCATGAGGAGCCTGTGGCAAGGATCTGCTCAAAAAACCTTGTGATCTCCAGAGTGATGTTTACAGCTTGGTTGATGTTTGTGATAAATGGTTGCAGTGCAGCTAGTTTTCTCAGGAGCTGCCATTCCCACTGCTCCTGGTGAAGCTTTCTTGAGACACTGCCTCATTTATTTACCAATAAATACAAATTCAGGAAAGTTTTCCTGCAAACCACACATCGCTTGGCTTTTTAGTTTAACTGTGTTTGGGTGAGACACTGGTCTTAATGAACAACTTTTGATTTTAGCATCAAAACAGAACCAGAAATTCACCTGGATTTTGCCATATTCGTGATACATGTGTGGGGCAGTATTATGAGAGAAACTGAGTGCTTCCAGGAGAAGTAGGTATTCCAAAATTAGCTTGTAAGTGTGGTAGCTCTTTATTTTGGAGCAAAGAAGCATCCATTTGGTCCTTGGAGGAAGGTGTGCCTGATAGCCATGGCTCTGGCCTTGTAAGCACGCCCTGTTTTGTGAACCTTTGTCTACACGTTGGTTGGGTGCCCCGACCTGAAAACAAACATCCTGCAGAACGGCGATGTCAGGAGGCACAAACAGCCTGACAGAGGCTCTGCCCCCGGGGGCTGAACCCCATTGTTTTTGTGCAAGAAGGAGCACAATGGGACATCCTGCCTGACCCCGCAGGGTCGCTGCCAGAGTATGAGCGGGTTTATTCCATGGAATATTTCTTCTGAATGGAGCTGATGGATTTACACCAGTGAATGAGCTGGCCAGGCGACACTGCCTTAGGAATGCCCAGTGCTCATAAATGTTAGGATGTTCTTAGTTTGTGGGATAAAGTGAGTGTGAGAAGTAGATGGAGCTCCCTAAATAGGCTGAAATTACATAACTGATTAACTACTCAATGACTATTTTAAATGCAACCTCCTATTTTCTGGCACATGCTTCATCTTCCAAACCACCTGAGAGTTCTTGCAGTGCTGTGAGGATTCCTCTTCCACACTCCAAGCAGGAGGAAGAGATGAAATTACCTGGCCTGGTGAAGGTTCTCTCCAAAGCTTCATTTCTTCTGTGATGTCTGATCTGTGCACTTTGAGAAGCACACTTCCAGATGAAAATGCATAAGCTAGTTGCCTGAAAGGAAGGGGGAAGTGCTGGAGCTTTCCTCTAACCCGGATATTTTGAGATTGCACAGTACATCCTTTTTATCCCCAAGCCTGATCTAAATCCAATCTCATTTACCTGACCCCTTCTTTTTAGGGAATAATTGTCCACTTGTTCCTTTTCCTGCATGGCATGCAAAGTTCTGGGTGAAATGTGCTATGACTACAGGAGCACCTGTGCTGTCACTGAGGCACTTTTTGATTTAATACATTTTTACATGTCCTGTATCTCATCCAATTCAAGGTGAGGATAAACCCAGTTAGTCGGGGTGGGAAATACAGGATAGTTGGATGTCATGAATTTTTCTTCTGAAATTCAACTCCATGCATGAACTTTGCCAAACTTTGGCTCTACCTGGTCTTGAATTTACTGATCTGCCAAGAGTAAGTGAGGAAATACTGTTAGAATTGAAAATGCACCAGTTCTGCTGTGTTCAATAGCCAGAGGTCTCTCTGGAGCAAGTGGTAGAGATAGAAGGTGCCATTCTGGAGTCTCCACAGAGGTTTTTGTATGGGCTTTCAAACCTGGAGTTCTAGGGCCTGTGTTCTTGTATCCCCACTTTCCATCCCTTGCCCTGTACTGGAGCAGGAGCACCTGCCATGGTAGTTCCTGAGTCATCCATCACTGCTGCCAGGTGCAGATAACATCCCCTAGAAAAGTTAACCTCATCTGCTCTCCTTCCTGACAGTTCTAACACACTG